GAGCTCGGGGTGCTGGTCGCCTGCAGGCTGAACATGAGCCAGCCGTGTGATGCGGTGGCCAAGAGGGCGAACGCCACCCTTGGTTGCATAGCCAGAAGTGCGGCTTCCAGATCGAGAGAGGTATTGCTACCACTCTGTACAACTCTGGTGCGCCCGCAACTGGAGTATTGTGTTCAGTTTTGGGCCCCTCATTACAGAAAGGATATAGCCAGGTGAGAGTCAGTGCAGCGCAGGGCCACAAGGTTGGTGGCTGGTTTGCAGGGGAAGCCATAGGAGGCGAGACTGAGGGAACTGGGTCTCTTCAGCCTGGAGAAGAGGAGACTCAGAGGGGATCTGTTGGCAACATACAGGTATGTGAGGGGGTGTCACACGGAGATGGGTAGAGGCCTGTTCTCCCCTGCAGAGGAAGGCAGGATGCGCTCCAATGGGGCAAAGCTCAGGGAACCCACGTTCCATTTGGATGCCAGGAAGCACTTCCCGACAGTCAGGACCCCGAGGGTGTAGAGTGGGCTTCCATGGGAGGTGGTCGAGGCCCCATTGGTGTGGGTGTTCAAAGATAGGCTGGACGTGCACATGGTGGGCATGTTGTGAGCGGGGCCGGCTGGAGCCGGGGTCAGGCTAGATGGCCCGGCAGGCCCCTTCTGACTTGCTCTCTTTCCATGCTTTTAAGTTTCCTTGCTGGCTTGCCTCTGCCCCTGCTAGGAGGGGGCAGGCAAGTGCGCCGATTTGCTCATGCTTCAAAAGGAGTTGTGCTGGGCTTGGGATGCACGCAGGGCCAGTGGCTCAGCCGCCCTCGGGTGTTGCAGCTGGAAGGGGCGGGCGGCCTGTCAGCGAATTTGCAGGCTGTTGGGGAGGGCAGGAGGGGGATAATCTCAAGGAAATGGATGCCCCGCTCGTTCCTGCCAGCTCAGGGGAAATCGCTCCTTACGTCAGAAGCGCCTGGCTGCAGCGGGGGGGGGGGGGGGGGGGAGCAAGTGAATGCCTGTGGCTCCCAGTGGGATACCTGGCCCGATCTAGGGGCCCTCCAGGTCTCCCGCACTCTCCAGCCACTCAGAAGTGGGAGAGAGCAGCTCTTCCCAGTGGATTTCCTTCTCAGAGCCCTTTCTTCTGCAATCACTGCAGGTTCTTGACGGTCACAGAAAACATACAGAAAGTGTGCGCATGTTTAATGGCGGAGAAGTCAGTGCAGGAGAAATTAGCACGCTTTTAATGGCTGAGGAGTAACCGGGGGGCGGGGGGACAGGGGGATCAGGCCTGCAGTACGTGCTGCATTGCAGCGGGTGAGTGTGTCTCCTGCCCCGTCACGGGCGCGTTCCTTTCCCGGTCCGAAAGTGGCACAAATATTCCGTGCAGGCAGCCATGACAAGAAAGCGCAGAAGGGCTGCGGCCGGGCATCCTTGCGCTCGCTCTGCTCTGCTCTGCTCTGCTCTGCTCTGCTCAGCCCCTTTTCCAGGTTTATTACTGCTGTGCTTTAGCAGTCTGGAATCCGCATGAACCGCAGCAGTCAGGCTGCGGGGGGGGGGGGCATTTCTCCCCGCACGGAGTAGCTGGAGGCTCAGGGGAGCATTGAGAAGTGGCTTCAAATCACTTCGAAGGACAGGATCAGGCGGGGGGGCGCACCCTCCCCCCTTCTGCTTCCCTTGGTTTGCCACTGCCTTTTGGGCTGGTCCAGAGGCGGGAGCATCTCGCCTGTGAAAGGGCTCGCAAGCACTGGGACTGCTCAGCTGAGAAAGGAGGGGAGGGGGGAGCCACGGGGGGTGCTTGGAGGAGCGCAGTTCTCCTCCCCTCCCGCAACCCTTGGACCCGGGCTCCTCCACGAGGCGGGGGGCTGTCGCGAGGCAGGAGGCCAAGGCCTTGCTGGCACCAATAGTGGGGCACGGAATAGTCAGGCCTCGCTGCGACAGCCCAGGCTCAGGCTAGAGCACGTCGGGAGGGACCCCTGGGCATAGAAATGTTATAATCATCATCATCATCATCTAGTCTTGCCATGCCCAAAGGCTCCTGGGGCCAAGACTTGCCGCAAACCAAGGTGCCCGGGCCGGGTGTCCTGCAGGGGCCTGCAAAGGTGCCGCAGGTGCAAGGGGCTGTGGACGTCCCGGCCCACCTGGAGGGGGATTCCTCGGATGAAGCAGGCCGGTGCGGTGGGTCCCAGCCACTCAGATGCAGGGGCCGTGGCTGCAGAGGACTGCCCTGCGGCAGAGGAGCGGCCGACCCCCCGTGGGCATTCCCGGGGCTCCCCAAGAGCAGGAACTGTGGGCAGAGGGAGCTCGCCCCTCAGACGGAAGGAGGAGAGCACGGCGTCCACAGGCCAGACGGGCTGCGAGGGGAGTTTTCCGTGTGGTGCTCATTTCCAGCTCGCTCTGCTTTAGTTCAGGCAGAGCTGCTCTCTGGCAGACGACAAGCATTGCCCTCCGCGGCCTCTGAGCTCGTGGAAACGGTCTGGCCTCAAGGTTTCTGGCTTTCAGCTGTCCCCACCTGGTGGGCATGCGCAAGCGGCAGCCTCCACTCTTGGGCCACGTGGCCATTCTTAGGAAGTCCATGCTGATGCGGCGTTTGTGGGCCGGGGCAGGACAGGCTGGAACTGGCAGAAAAGTCGAAACATACAGAGTGAATCAGGAGGGGCCTCCCAGGCCATCTAGTCTGACCTGCAGCTCCAGCCGGCTCTGCTCACGACATGCCCACCATGTGGACGTCCAGCCTATCTTTGAACAGCCACACCGATGGGGCCTCCACCACCTCCCGTGGGAGCCCATTCCACACCCTCGGGGGTCCTGACTGTCAGGAAGTGCTTCCTAGCATCCAAATGGAGCCTTGGCTCCCTGAGCTTTGCCCCGTTGGAGCGCATCCTGCCTTCCTCTGCAGGGGAGAACAGGTCTCTACCCACCTCTGTGTGACACCCCCTCATATGCCTGTATGTCGCCAACAGATCCCCTCTGAGTCTCCTCCAGGCTGAAGAGACCCAGTTCCCTCAGTCTCGCCTCATTCCCCACCCCCTGCAAACCGGCCACCAACCTTGTGGCCCTTCACTGCACTGACTCCAACCTGGCCATATCCTTCCTGTAATGAGGAGCCCAAAACTGAACACAGTACTCCAGTTGCGGGCACACCAGAGTCGTATAGAGTGGTAGTAATACCTCTCTTTATCTAGAAGCCACACTTCTGGCTCTGCAACCAAGGGTGGTGTTCGCCCTCTTGACCACCGCATCACACGGCTGGCTCATGTTCAGCCTGCAGGCAACCAGCACCCCGAGGTCCCTTTCACAAGTGCTGCTCTCCAGCCAATGGCCCCCTAACCTGTACTTATGACACCCATTCCTATGCCCCAAGTGCAAGACCTTGCACTTATCCACATTGAACGCCATCCTGTTGTCTCCTGCCCACTTCCATAGTCTGTCCAGATCCTTTTGGATCCGGAGTACCTGCTCCTCAGTTGTGGCCACTGCTCCAGTTTTAGTGTTGTCTGTGAATTTGATCAGCAGACTGTTCACCCCTTCTTCCATGTCATTAATGAAAAGATTAAACAGGACCGGCCCCAGGACAGAGCCCTGGGGGACCCCGCTTGTCACTGGCCGCCATCCCGATGATTCCCCACTAATGGTGACCTTCTGCTTTCGGTCCGTCAGCCATGCCCTAATCCCTTGGACGGATGCCTGGTTTATTGCTGGATCTGGGTGCGCTTGTGGAGGACAGCATCTGGGCTTGTTTTCTTGGTCCCTGTGTTGCTTGTTTCCCGCATTCAGGTGCTCCCTCCGTATCCCACATTTTTGTTCATTAATTTTGTTTGTGCCCTGGCCCATAGCTGAGGCTTTCTGGGTGTTCAGCAACTGCTGAGAAAAACACACAAACAAAAATGAACTTAAAACTGCAATACCATAATAGCCATCACAATGGAAACAGCATAGAAGTGTAACCGCAGTACAGAGGAAATGCAATTAAATGATAAAGTTAGAAAGTTCAGCTGTTAAAATGCTGGGGGAATAGAAAGGCCTCCACCTGGCTCAGAAAAGGAGGCCAGGTAGGCAGCAGGCGCACCTCCTTGGGAGCTCATTCCAGAACTGGGGTGCCACCGCCGGAAAAGCCCCTTCCTCTGAACCACCCGCCTCACTTCCTTGGGGGTCGGTTCTGGAGGAGGACCCCTGAAATGAGCTCAGGATCTGAGCAGGTGCATGCGAGAGGAGGCTGTCCTTCCACTTCTCCGGCCCCAAGCCCCCCGGGGTTTGATAGAAGCAGAGAAGCAGAGCGAGTCAGAAGGGGCCTCCCGGGCCATCCAGTCTGACCTCCGGCACCAGCTCACGACATGCCCGCCATGTGCATGATGCCACTAGCGCTTTGAGTGTGGCCGGGAAGAGGCTCTGTGCAGCCCATTCGCATAAATTGGCCCCCAGTAACGGCCTTGCTGCCTGCTCTGGATCTGCTGACGCTTCCAGACTTTTTATTCACTTGTTTTATTAGACCTACATCCCACCTTTTTGAAAGAACTGCAGGTGACTCACTCCATTCTTGCTCTCCTGCTCTCCATCTTCTCACAACAACGGCCCTGTGAGGCAGGCTGGGCTGAGAGCCGGGGTCCAACCAGGGAGCCCCACGGCTGAGCGGGGACCAGAGCCCAGATCGCCCGGGTCCCCAGCCCACGCCCTTCCCCACAGCACCGTGCTGGCTCAACGGCAGCCCCACGCATGACGCATTGCAGCCAGCCAAGCGCCTTGATGGTGCTGGTGAACCTGCCTCTGCTCTGGCGAAGGGACCTGCGGGCAACCCACGATTCTGCAGTCACACAGATGCCAGGCCATGACTGAAACGAGCCAGAATCCGCCACCCAACAGGAAACCCTGGGTTCCCTTTTCAGCTGTTTGCAGTGGACAAGCCTAGTTTGCTCGCACAGACGGGCTCGCACAGGACAAGAACCCAGAGCTCATCTGGACGGGGTTGGCATCACGGGCAAACCAGGTCACTGCCCGTGTGGCCTTCTGGCTGAACGCTCTGCCTTTTTTTCTCCGCAGGCTTCATTCTATGGGCGCTTCAGACACTTCTTGGACATCATCGACCCGCGCACGCTCTTGGTCACACAGGTAAGGTGTGTGTGTGCGCACGCCTTGTGTGCAGCTTCGCCAAGGCTGCGGGACGTTTCCCCTCTTAAGGGCTGCGCTGCTCTGTGCCCAGAAAATGCATTTCGAATTCCCCCGGCCTTCTCCCGGGATTCGTCTTCTGCAAACGGGGCTTGGTCGTCTCCCCAGGAATGTCTTGGAAACCTAGAGTCGCTTCTCGATTGATTCATTGATTTCCTTTCTGTTGCACCCAGTAGCTGAAGCCCTCTGGGTGGCTTGCAAAAGTGGATGGAGACAATGCCATAACGTGCCATGAAATCTTATCAAAAGAAGCATAAACATGTAGAAACAGCCAAACACGTGCCGGTAAAGCAGCCCTGTAGTATTAAAGCACCCGAGTCGAGGCCCTGGGCGAAAGCCTAGGCATAAGCTGGCGCGAAAAATATGGCGAGGCTGGGGCCAGGGAAACTCTAGTGCAGGGGCGTTCCATGGATCGGGGCCTGCGTGGAGGAAGCCCTCAAGCCCCCCCTTGGAGGTCGCGCTCGGGGGGGGGCGCTCTGGTCCGTTGCGGCGGGAGGAGGTGCTCCGTCAAGTATCGCGGTCCCAGGGGGCGTGAGGCTTCACGCCTCGAATCCCAAGATGCCGCCTGCCTTCTGCTGCCGCGGCAGAGGCCTCGGCGTGGCTCCCGTCGCTCGGTCGTCGGGTGGCAGGCGCGCCCGGCCCCGTGCCGTCTCCACTGCTTCTCGGCACGATCGCGCCATCCTTGCGAGGCCTGCCGGGCTCCCTCTCGCACGGAAGGCTGCTCTCCCTCACCCCCCTGCCAAGGCACCTCGGTCGGCCAGACGGCAAGTGCGCCAGCTTGCTTGTGGGCTCTGGGGGGGGCGTCGCCCTCCGCCTGGGTCCCGGTGGTCCGCCGGGAAGGGCCCTGAGGGCACGGGGGGCGTGCCGTGCAGCCCTGCAGGCGGGTCCAGGCGGTGGCCGCCCCTCTGCCGGGTGGACGCGAGGGCCGCAGCTGCCCGGCGGCCGGCTGCAGAGACTGGCCTGCTCGGATCCCGGAGGGGCCCCCGGGCCTTCTCCCCCACGAATTTGCCAACGCTTTCGGAGCTGCCGTGGCGCTGGCCGTGGCTCCCCTCGCGTGGTGAGTGCCGGCGCCAGGAGCTGCCCGCGGGCCCGCCTGCGCACGGGTGAGCGGCAGCCGTGCTCCGAGGCCCTGCTCGCTCGCTTGTTCCCCCACAAGTTTCTGTGCCACCCACAATGGAAGCAGAATCGCGATGACGTTGCTCCTCGAGGGAAGATTGCCCCCCCCGAGGCGCAAAGACTGCAGCCCACTTCGGAGCCTGGAGTTCCGCGGTCCTGGGCACCCTCTGCTGAGGGCGATGCGGGCGCTGTCGGAGTCTGAACCTGTCCCACGAGCCGGGAGGCTCCCTGGGCGGCTACAGAGTTAAAAATATACAGTAAGAATGCAATTAAAAATAGCAGTTAAAATCCAGCAATCCAACAAACAAAGCAACACCACTATAAAACTTAATTTTATAAACCATAATTTATCCAAGAACAGTATGGAAGGCACAACAGTATTAAAAGCTTTATAATCATTCTAGCAAGTAAAGTATTGGGAAAATGAAGAGGTCCTTGCCTGGTGCCAGAAAGAGGACAAGGAGGGGCGCCAGGCGAACCTCTCTGGGGAGCTCATTCCGAAGTTGTGGTGCCACCCCCAAAAAGGCCCTTCTTCTTGTAGCCCCCCCCTTGTTTCCTGAGGAGGGGGCTCCTTGAGAAGGGCCTCAGATGATGATCTAAGGGGCTGGGGAGGCGCCTGTGGGGAGGGGCACTCTTGCCCCACGCCACTTCGGCTTTCAACACAGGTGTTAACACCTTGAGCTGGGCCAGGCTCCACCTGGCAGAGAGGTGGCTTTATGTGGTCGTGCCTGCAGCCTTCGTCAGCAGCCCCCCCGCCCTGTTCTGGACGCCAGCGATCGTGACACCCGTGCAGGCACTACGCTTGTGCTGCCATTAGGGGTGTGTGCTGCCCTGGGCAGCAGCAAGGCCCGGCTGGGGTGACTTTGCAGGCTGAAAGTTGTGGAAATGTGATATTGTGGGCATAAAACCGGAGAAGTCGCTAATTCCCGCCAGAGCATTCTTTTGTGCAAGATAAAGTAATTGACTGGACGCTCTGCATGGCCTGGACGAAGCAGGCACGGGAAGCGTGGTTTTACTGAATAAGTTTTACTGACTAGGTCCCACCCTTGAAGCTGGCCTAGAAATGCTTCTGCGTGAGCACATCGGCCGGGCGAGGGCTTCTTACTCCCTTAGCGCCTCGGCTTGTTGACTCCACTGGAACGCTGCCGTCTGCTCTCAGCCTGCAGTGAATTAGGGCTCAAAGTGGGGAGTGGAGCGAGTGTGTCCGTAGCAAGGGGAAAGCCGCTCGGCCATTCCGACCTGCCCCTGCGTGCAGCCCGAGCGGTTTCCAGACCTGAGGGCGTTTTGCAGTGCGGCATTCGGTGTTTCCAAGAAGAGTGGCTGGCCAGCTGGCCGGCTTTCATTCGCCGCTGGAGTTATTCTGAGGAACGGCCCTGACATGCAGCTGCCGGATTCTGCCTGAGTCGTCTTCCTTAGGAAGTGTGATCGTCTGGGAGCACATGGCCACTCGGGTGAACCGTCGCAGGGCCTTCCTGTGCGCAGGGAACTTGGCCCCCGGACTGGCCGTTTCGGAGCATGTTCCTTGCACATAGCTTGCAAACATGCTTTGCCTCTCGCACAATTGATGATCGGCCTCGTTTGAGCGCGTAAAGCGGAGATGGCCGTCTGGTTCCCGTGAGTCCCCTTTGGATGCCTGCTTGCCCGCCTGCACGTACCGCAGCTAATGGAGCCACTATTCCGAGATGGTGGCTCCATCTACTCAAGCCAAGCGCCAGCGAAACCTGTGCCGACCCGCCAGCCACAGAGGGCTCTGCGTGGCCCGGAGCGGCGTGAGCCTCCAGAAAGGCAGGCTAGGGCAGGCAACGCGGCGCCTGCTCCCATCCCGCCCGCACTCCTGGCCCCGCTGCCGGCCACGGAGAAAGAGGCTGCAGCCCAGCATGCCTCTGCTTTAGGCGGGCGGCTCGTGATCCACTGCCGACTGGAGCGTGCCAGGGAAGAGGGCTGCCCAGCAGGACCCCTCTTCTGGTTCATGCCCAGTCTGCTTCCGCAGGACTCTCCGCGACGGCCTCCTTTCATGGTGCGTTCGTGATGTCGTGCACCAAAAAGCAGCACCTGCTCTGCGCAAGGGGCCTCCACAGGAAGGGGCTGCGGCTGAGCAGCGCTTGCACGCCGGGGGTCCGCGGCCAGTCGCCGGCCGCTCCTGCCTGCGTGTCCTGGCTGCGTGGGGCATGTGGTTTGGGAGCCGAAGTTCCCTTCCTGGGAGCAGCTGCCCTGGGGTCCCCGTCCGCAGCACTGCCGGGCTCCCACGGAGGGGCAGGGTGTCCGTCTCGCTCTCGCTCGGCTGGCTCCGTCCGGGCGCCTGCTCTGGCGCTCAGCTGGCACGCTGCACCTCCCAGGCGCTGCTCAAGCACGAGCCGGGCCTCTCGGGAGGCAGGAGCGCATAGCGCTTGACCTGCTCTTCACTGCGAGTGAACTGACGAGAACAGGGCAGCAGTGCGTGCCCAGGAAATGCTGTGGCAGGACGGGGCCAGGGCAGGCGGAACTTGCCCCTCGGCTGTTCCCCTCCCGCTGCACCCCCCACACCGGGCATTCTCCGGCACGCGCCTCTTCTGCTGCCGGGGCAGATCCCGGCGCGACCCCAGGCGGTCGGTTGAGGCTGGGCCCATGGCTGCTGGATGCCCCGCGAGAAGGCTGAGCTTGCCCGCTCGAGCGACGCTGGGTGGTGTGGGGGGCTTGTGGCATCAGCTTCGCGGCGGGGTCCACGTCGCCCGAGGCCTCCGTCGGCGGAGGTGGGAAAGTGCGGACAGCCCCGGGCGCCCAGCAGGAGGCCCCCCGTGCTTGTGTTAGCGCCTCGATTTACGCGAGGGGAGCGCAGGGAGCGTCCGCAGCCGCTGCTGAGAAAAGAGGCGCCCGCCTCGGCTCGTGGGCCTTGGCCTTGTGGGCTGGACTCCCACGCTCTGTCTGGCCCGATTGCGAGCTCGGCATCAGCAATTAAGCGGGACGTTCGTTCGGAGTGTTGCCGCCCAGTGTGGGCCCTCCCCACATCGGCCGCTCGGGGAGCGCTCCCCCCCCGGGTGTTGCCCCCCCCCGTGAGGGGCCGACTGTGCATGGCTCACGCCATGACGCAGGATGGGCCCCCCCAGGGCAGGCCCCGCTCCGGTGTGTCAGCTCTTGTGTGAATCTAAAGGCGGCTCGCATTGTGGCCAAGGGCCTTGCAGTGGAGCCAGGGTTAGGAGTTCAGGCTTGTGGGGGGGGCGGCGGCAAGAGCTACCCACGGTGTTTCCACTTTTGCTGGGGTACTGGGCCCCCAACGCCTGCGACGGATCCGCCAGGCAGATCTGTGGCCATCTTTTGTGGGCAGCTGGGCTAGCAGAGCCCTCTGTGGGCTCGCGGCTGCTTTACATGGCTTATTACCGAGTTCAGGGGTGTGTGGAGGGGGAGAGCACAGCAGAGAGAAGGCGAGCACCAGTGGTCACGGAGCGACTCCCCTTACTCCGGAGGAAGTCCGTAGCTCTCAGGTCTGTACTTCCAAGCAAGTGCATCCTGCCGGGAATGAGAAAAAAGGCTTTTTCGGGAGCAAACCGGAGCGTTCGGGGAGAATCTGCCTGCCCCCCTGCCAGTCCCCAGCCGCGCGTAGCGCTGTGGCTCGCCCGTCTCCTTCCCCGAGCGCGAGGCAAGACGGGTGCAGCTCGGGGCTGCTGGGCTGGATCGGGCCCACACATGTAAACGGAGCGCAGGCCTGGGTGCGCACCGTCCCGCGGGCAATGCGGCTGGCGCGTCCGGATCGCCAGCGAGCGAGGAGGCGTTTCTGGCGGCCGCCTCTTCTCGGCAGCCGGGCCTGGGGCGCGAGGGAAGGCCTGGAGCCGGGCGGGGGCATGGCAGGCGGC